CGCAGGCCCCGCGCCGCCCGAGTGGGAGCCACGCTGGAGGAGGGCCCTGCGCGGCAAGGTTCGCGGGGGATGGGGTGTCCCCGCGGAGCTCCGACCCCTGCTCTGTCCTTTCCACCCCACCCTGGGGTCCCCGCGGGGCCCAGGCCCGTGTTCCGACCTTCCCTCCATGGTGTCCGGAGGAGCCCGGACCATTCCCCACCCCCGGGTCCTCATGGTTTTCTGGCAGCTGTGGCCCCTTTGTCCTCTCCCCTCCTCTCGTTGGGGTCCTCCCCTCTGGCCCTGACCTTTCTCCACCCCGGGGTTCTTGTCCTCCCCACTCGGTGCTGACCCCTCCCCCTTCAGAGGTTGCCATGCTCACCTCCCTGCCGCACAACCTGGCCTCGAAGTGCCATATCTCCTGCTCCACCTTGGACCTTGTTCCCCCACCCCCATCCTAGATGCCCATAGATTCCTCTCCCATAGACCCCAGGGATGGCCCCCCCCTCACTGCGGTAAGGGGGCTGCCCCCCCTTACCAACCTTGGTCAAGGTTCTGTCCTGGTGACCAGGCTGTAGCTCCAGACTTCCAGTGGGCATCTTGAGGCTGGCCCAGCACCTTTTTTCCCTCTGAGGTTACCCCCAGCCACACCCCTGTGAGCACTGTTCTTGAAATTTCCCTAGCATGATCTCTTGACCATTGCATTTGGCAGCTGCTATTGTGTGGAACTCCACCTTGAATCTGGCCACAGCTGGGTCCTTGGGGCCTGGAGCTGCCCTGGAGTGTAGCTAAGGATCAGTGTCATTTCTGAGAATATGGTCAGGTCCCTGGGTGCTGACCACCCTGCCTGGCCCTGCCCAGGAAGAAGCAAGGCTGGCTTGGTGAGCTTTCCTGGGTCCTAGGGCTGCTACCAAGGCACACCGTGGAGGAAGGGCCCAGGCTGTCCCCTGCACCATCCTAGAGTGACTGCTGTTGATTGTCCCTTTCCTGAGGCAGGGTACTGAGGAGGCTGAGCAGGCCTTGTGTGGACTAAGTTTGCCCCAAAGGGAGCCTACTTAAGAACATGGGTTGCAGGCCACCCGGAAGAGCTGCCTGGGCTGTGCCCAGCCTCTGTGAAGGTGGGGAACATGGAACCATCTGCTGCACCCTATGGTGTCTGTAGCCTTTTCCCTTTTATTGGGATGTGGCAGCCAGAGGTCCTTTACCAGGGCTGTCTGGGGCAGACTTTGTGGGATCAGTGCTGGGAAGTCCCTTAGACTGGCTGAGCTGGGCCCTAGACCTGCCCATCTTCCAGTATGTGGCTTCTCTCTTCCAGGAGAACAAGGGGTCTGTGGAAATCATGAGAAAGGACTTGAATGATGCCCGGGACCTACATGGCCAGGCAGAGTCTGCAGCTGCCGTGTGGAAGGCAAGTGGCAGTGTGGAGGGTGGGGGCCACTGGATGCAGTGTGTGGGCTGGAGAGGAGCCTTGGGTGAACTTACTGAGCCTAAGGATATTTTTCTAGGTCGTGTTTGTGGGTATTTACCAAATAGAGTTTGGTAAAGCCAGCGAGAGTCCTCTTCCTCTGCATGTTTTGGTCTTCTGCCCATGGCTGACCCTGTTCCATGGTCCAGGGCCAGGAGGGTACCATATGAGTCTGAGGGGATTCTTTCTCACTCCTGCTTTCTAGATGAAGTCTTGGCTGATGGGGGGCCTTGTGCTCTGATGAGGGTGTGCCAGTGCGGTCTTCAGCTGCAGTAATTGACCCTGTGTGTCCACATCTTATGATGGCTGTGTCTGTACTGAGCACAGAGACAATTTCATTGTCGTTATTTCCTAAGCAATGCATTGGAATACCTACATAATGTTAACATTGAGTTAGGTGTTATGATTTGAGGTACACAGGACAAGATGCATAGGTTCTGTGCAAATCCTGCACCATTTTATGGAAGGGGCTTGAGTATCCACACGTTAGTGTCCTTGGGGTGAGGGTCCTGGAACTCATGCCTGGAGAAGACCAAGGAATGACTGTGTAGAGGGAGACAAATACTCTCCAACAGAGCATTGAATTGGTGTAGGACAGACGAATAGGGAAGAACAGACACATTTGTTGACACAGGTTGGGAGAGGGAGGGACAGAACTTTGTGAGGAAAGGAAGACCCAAAGCAGCAGTTGTCCAGTCATTACAGACTGAGTGGGTCGAAGAATGCAAGTGCTGAAAAAGCAACTAAGTGGTGTTGGGAGACATGAAGACAAGAGCTGTTTGAAACAAGGTCTGTGCAGTCTTCTTGGCCTGGGTGACAAGAGTTCATTGCTCCTTTATTATGGAGAGGGTGTACTGGTCTATCTTCTAATGCTGTAACAAAATTATAACGCTGAGCATTTTATAGAGAAAAGCGGTTTATGTAGCTCACAGGTCTGGGAGCTGAAAGGCCAGTTAAGTGGCTCCATTATTTCTGCTGTAGTGAAGGCCCAATAGCAGGTGGCACTGCGGTGGGGATGGGGAGGCGACGGGAGCCATAGAGACTTGCTCTGTTGACACCAGCTTGCTCTTTGGGAACCAAGGGGTTCTTGGAGACCCCGAGGGCCACCTCCCCCTGAGCCCCTCTGAAAGGCCCCACTGTCCCATTGCTTCTAGTTTGAGGCCAGTCTCCAGCATGCACAACTCAGGGGACGCATGGGGACCACAGCAGAGGGTGTCTTCCCCTGAAGATCTTGTCCACTTTTGAAGTGGCCTTGTGCTTCAAAGTGCTGTTGGCATATTTTGAGATGTCACAGTCTGGACTCCCTTGAGCACAGACAGGTTTCTTGTACACCAGGGCTGGGCGCATGGACTGAGGTACCTGCAGGGCCCAGAGGCACAGCTGTCCTCTCCACTGCCCCCCTGCAGGGACATGTGATGGACCGTAGGAAGAAGGCCTTGACTGACTACAGGAAGCTGCGGGCCTTCTTTGAGGAGGAGGAGGAACACTTTCTGCAAGAGGCTGGGAAGGAGGAAAGCACCCCAGAAGACGAGCTGGCTGACCCGGCTGAGCGGTTCCGGTCTCTGCTGCAGGCTGTGTTGGAGCTAGAGAAGAAACACCGCAGCCTGGGCCTGAGCATGCTGCTGCAGGTATTGGTGCCCCGCAAGGGAGGCCTGTCAGTTACAGGCCTGGAGCCACATCCTGCTTGCATGGGTCACGGCCTTGGGGCTGAGGTGGGAACAGGCATCCTCAGCCTTCACACAGGACTGAGTGTGGGAACACTGAGGCCCCCACTCTGGGCTTGAGGGGCTGCAGCCTCCCTGACAGCTTTCAGGTTTGGCCTGGGCCAGGCCCACAGGTGTGCCACATGTGCAGCAACTGTGACGGGGTTGCCTGTTCAGGTGGGTGTCACATTATCTCTGGTCTGGGTTTGTGGTGCCCAGGACAGTAGCCCTCTCTGTTCTGCTGTTTCTCTGCTTTGGTCCCGTAACAGTGTTTCTGTCTTTTGTTCAGCTTTCTCTGCCTCGGTCTCTCTGTCTCCGTCTCTGTCTCCGTCTCTGTCTCGTCTTCATCTCTGTCTCTCACTGTCTCCGTCTCCATCTCTGTCTCTCTCCCTTTTCTCCCTCCCTGCAGTGAAGGCACTGACCTAGCTGGTTCCCCCTGTGCCTGAGGGCAGAAGGGACCATCCTGCATAGCTGGCCCGCAGCAGCCCTCAGGGTCCCTTCTGCCACCGTCTCCTGCCACCCTGGAAGGAGCCACTGAAGCAGCACCATTGCCCGAAGGTCCAGGTCTCAGCTAAGCGTTGTTTTCCCCTTCTCAAGCTATGTGCCAGGCTCCACCACTGCCCATGAAGTCTGGTCTAAAGCCCTCCCCAGTGAATCTCCTCCTTACCTGCCCGCACAGCCTGGCACCTGGTATGCTGGGCCATCTTTGTGGTACCCAGGATGGGCTGGTCATAGGCTGTTCTTCCCCAGGTGAGGGCACACAGGCTTTGAGGCTGGTGCCAGGGGAGGGTCACATGGTGGATGTCACCTATTCTTTCAGGAAGGGAAGGAAGGAATGGCATGCTCTTGGCCTTTCTGAGGGTCTTCCCTTGGGTCCTGCTGTAATTTATGCTCAGAGCCCTAGCCCTGGTCTCCACTTAGACCGTCTCTCTTAGCTTGTGCCCCTTGGGTGCTGTCGGTGATCCCAAAGCATTCCCATTCCCTCCTCCCCTTCTCCAGTGGAAGGGACCCTTTTCCCAGGGAGGGGCAGGGGGCGGTTCCCCCTGACATCTCCAGGCCTACCCTGGGGTATCACCCTGCTGTGTCCTTGGCTGCTTCTTGTTTCTGGTTTCCTCAGGTAGATGGGGTTCACCATATGCATGATGTAGCCATTGTACCACTCACTGCCTGCAGCATTGTGTGTAGATCAGCCCAGATGACAAAAACCTAGCCTGGAATGCACAGTCACCAGGCCAGGGACACAGATGCAAATTTGAGTTTAGATTCACTGTAGCATGTGATTCAGGGCTTGTTGGGTGCAGATGGGGCTGTTTTGGGGGATAGTTCCCATCCTAAGGAATCCCTGGGCTCGGATGTGGTCACTGTATCCAACCTGCTTCTGTAAGCTGGGCTCTCAGATCTGAATAAAGTGGGTTTTCTCCAGCTTGTTTACTTCCTGTCATGCCTCTGGCTGCTTCTCATGCCACTAGTCAGTCCCCAGGGTTAAGGAGAATTCACTCAGTGACACCCGACAGGCATCATCAGGTGGCACTGAGATGGGTGTGTGTCCATGGCTCACATGGGGGAGATTAGGCTGTGCCTCAAACCCAGCGTTGGAGAGTGGGAACCTCCAGCCTAGGAGCACTGAGGGGTCCATGTGTGGAAACTGAGGGCCTCTGGCCCCAGTGAACAGGATTCTTGCTGAGGGAACCAGATACCTGCTGGGGCCAGGGGGAGAGAGTGAGGAACTGGTTAGATAGCAAGGGGGGTTGGATATCAAGGGTTGGGGAGTGGGAGGATTTCATTATGAATTTTTTGGGGAGCCACCTTCGGTCCGTAATAGAAGTCCAAAAGGCTCAAAGCCTTAGGGGAAGATGCTTCAACTTGTGGGACTTTTGTTTTTTGTGGTCCTGGAGACTGAACTCATGGCCATTGCATCGAACTACGGCATTTTTCAAAAAATTTTCTTTCTTTTTTTTTTTTTTCAAAGAGAGGGTATACTATATAGCACAGGCTGGCCTTGAACTCCAATTAATTCTCCTGTGTCAGGCTCCCCAGTGCTGGAATTACAGGCCTTCACCACCACACCTGGCATAAAATTTCTTATTTTTGAGACAGGGTCTCACTAAATTGCCCAGGACTTGAACTTGTAACCCTCCTGCCTCAGTCTTCCAGAATGCTCATAAAATTTTTGAGCAAGAAAAATTACGCACTGACAAAGCAGTGATCCAACCCTGTTAGACTAGGGGAGACTGGAAAGCAGCTGTCTGTCCCCACCTCCCCGACTCTGCTGATGGGTGCAGAGGGTGTATCATTCTGCAGACTTCATTAGATGAAGGGCACTGTGACCCAAGGACCCAGCAGTTCTCCCCTCCTCCTCCTAGGTCCACGGTGGGTGCACCATTGTAGGTGGCAGCAGGTAGGGCTGCATCCAGTGCCCTTCTCTGGAGAGGTGGGGGTGAAGTGGGGTTAGCACTGCAGAGACCACAACCTTGGAAGAATGGGAGAGCCAGCTGCCAGATGAGGCTTCAGGATATCACAAAAGGTGTGAAAGCAGGGCCCACCCTAAAATCACACGGGCACAAGTCCATGGTTGGAAAGAACGGCTCAAACAAAACAATGGAACTCCATGCCTGTGGGATAAGAAATGGAGGATGAAGTTTGGAGAGTGAGAATGAAGGAAATCGCAATACAAGAAGGAAACAAGCTGCATGGTAGGAAAGGGGACTAGGGGTATCCCAGCTCAGGCTGCCTTTTCATGGAAGATAAGCAGGTCCTAGGGCAGGAGTGACCTCACAGCCCTGACCCAGGACGATGATCAGGATGTCTCCTCCTGAACACTGGAGTACAGGCCCAGCGCACCAGTGCCCCCCCCCGGGGGGGGATTAGGGTTGGGGGACTCTGAGGTTAGGGTTGAGGAACAGCCTGAGGCGCCACCTCCCACACTGAAGTCACGTGACCC